CCGATAGGCGTCTGTGGATTCATGAAATAATACTTTGCAAAAAACAAACGGGCTAGCCGCAAACGTCCGTGCCGTATAGCGTGAATAACCCTGTATAGGATATAGAAAATCTTATTGCTGATTGGTTGCCAGTCATGATACGTCAACGGTACTATTATGCCGTGTGCTGGGGCTATCCGCTTGTCCCAGACAGCGACTCCAGGCGACTGACGCCAATTTCCAATCACTCTGTATATGTTAAAATAATCATATCTTTGACAGTCAGACCAGAGGATTCATTTGCTATGTACATACACCGTGCTAAGTACATTACATCGACAAGCGCAAAGACGAAAACCGGCAAACATCAAACGCACCGCGCACGTTATGATCCGATCCATTCGCCGAAGCCGAAGCCGAAGCTTCAGTCCATTATTGTCCATCGCGTAAGGTTTACGCCAACATGGCGGCTTTCCGCTATACGCACGCTGTGGTCAGCCGAATTCCTGTGTCTTTGCGAACCCGAGGGCAAATCGACCTGGAGGAAGCGAAAAAAGAGCACGAAGGTTATGTTCGATTGCTCAGGGAACTGGGATTGGACGTTATCGAACTGCCACCGGACGAGGCTTTGCCAGAATGCGTTTTTGTTGAGGACTGCGCTGTGGTCTGCAATGGGACAGCACTCATAACTAGACCAGGTGCCGCACATCGTCAGAAAGAAGTAAGAACTGGGACTTATTTCCTTATTTCTGCTCACATACTCACACTTATTAAAATAATTTTAAAAATCGCTGAGCGGCTCAGGCCAATTAAAACCGGAATAAGCGCGCATTCGATTAATTTGCAATACAATTATTGCACGTCTGGATTTTGTATTCCAAATTAGCCCTTCCATTAAGAAAACATTACGTAAATCGGGTTGTACTGACCATAACAAATGTCACGCACTTTCAATCAATGTATGAAAAAGTCTTGGAGGTTGCACAGGTGTCTGCTACATATAAAAAGGTCTAAGATCGCAGATTTTTTCCAAAAATTCGACCCAGATATGAAGTTATCTCATAGAACCAAACGGGGAAGAAAATCGGTCTTTGTTATGCCATTTTAAAAGATACATATTTCCACTTGCGCACCTTAGTTTTCAAGCAATCGGAAGCAAGTTTTATTACGACACCCTATATATATTTAATACCGAATGTTTCTATGGTATGTATTCTGTTTGTATGTAGAACGATGTTGTATTCAATATTCATGCATTATTTAAACTTTTGACTGCGGGTAACAGTCGAAGTACAGTAGATATACGGGTGTTCAGGGTACAAAAATACATTGGGGTCTCGTAAGCCGTCAGACACAAAGTCGGTTAAATTAAGGAAAAGTTGCGCATTTTAATGATCAACCAAATGGTGTTTCGATACTAAAGCCTGTGTCCCATGCATCCGTTTATACGATGGTACGATGATACGAAAGTGTTTCTATTGGTTGGAGATCTGTCAATTCGTCCTCCGTCGTACGAATTGACAGATCTCCAACCAATAGAAACACTTTCGTATCATCGTACCATCGAGCATGGGACGCAGGCTTTAGCCACACAACCATAAAAAGAGTAATTTAATCACGTACAATCAGACCGTGCGAAGTTCAATCGTTAGGACAGATTGCTCGCAAATTGAATCCTGGAAATTCCAGGTGGAAAAAAATTGCTAAAAAGTGTCCTTAATCAGGACAAAATATGAAAATCTCGGGCCGATTAATGCGCATTTAATTTCCTGAAACAGTTCTTTTACACGAGCGGGGCACGCTAATGTACCAACCAGTTCGCTCATATTTTATTTCGGCCGGTCATAAATCTTCCGAGCAATTATTCAAGAAAAGAATTTCGGAAGATTGTTCAACAAAAGTGTGATTTACGATAGAAAACAGGCACCTTTGTCCCTTAATATATGTATAAATGGTTTATTCGCAAATTGTATAAATCGCCGATACTGAAACGTTTGCCAGGGCAACTCTAATGGGCTTGTAATTCGACAAAGGCCCCCCGGGGAATTGACGTTTTCGTCTAATTAACAAGATATGAGTTTAATTTAGGGGATTTAATTAACTATTCTGTATTTGTTCAAAGCCACTATCAGTAAAAGCGCTCCCCAGATTTTGCGAAGTAGAACAGCAAATAGAAAATTTAATTAGCGAAAGCCTTCTTTGCCGGCAGGAAACAAAGCCCATTTTTGCTTAGTTTCGGTTAGCGAGCACAACAAAAAATTGTTCTGCTGCTCTTTTAATCTCGCTTTTATGTTTCTATGAATTTCAGAAAAAACCCGTATTCTCAGGCAAGAGCCCATTTTCATAGAGAAAGGGAATGGAAAATCTAGGGACTAAGACAACTGTATAGAGAAAGTTTATTTCAACACACCAGCTTCTCGCTACTTTTCCCGTTAAAAAATATGATTACTATTGCAACAATAATAGGTTTCACAACAGAAAGTCGTTTCAACTGAGATACGAAATACTTAACAGGGCTGATTGGTCTGGAAAAGCTCCCAATCCAGGTATTGGTCCGCTTTACCATTTTTCCAAGCGCTTTTGCTTGCGCATCGAAAGCACCATTAAGAAGAGCGGAAATCCACGCAGAAAGGATCTCTTGGGACGGATGGGCAACTTTTCCAGGCACAGCATATATAATACATTTCCTTAAAACTATCTACTTATCACATGTCAAAGAATATCAAAGCCTTGGTCGGTTCTAACAATGGAAACAATTGCTTTAGTGCCAAACACCGCAAGCAAAAAACCTTGCTCAAACGCCATTAAGAGGTAACTGTTGAGAATTGCCCTAACTTAGAGCCATCGAGTAAAATTATGATCAGAGCCAATCAATCACTGGCAAGAAATTAGCGATAGCAACGGCCTTAAAACGAATAATTGAATTGACTTGAGCCTCCTAGAAGCCGCAACGGCCATCATGATGTGCCATACTTTCCGTTCTCGAAAACGCCCTTCCGGAAGAACGGCGAAAAGTTGATGAGCGCCGACTTGGTGACGGGGCCCCCATAAGCCAAAGGGCACGTCGATAGCGTTCTGCAAGTATCAATCAGCCTGCGCAGGTAGAGTTCCAAATGGCGCTTCCTGGACACGGCCACTGAATCCGAGTTGGCGAACAGCACTCTTGAAGGAAACGGTATTGCACTAACCTAGAACCAACATTAAAAATTTTTAGAAATATTAACTAAACAAAGTAAGCTTTTTTACAAACTCCTTTTTGGGTATTTCGCCTCAAAAATTTTTGTCTTTAATAAAGACAGAATTTCCTCACATCTTTTAAAAGACATGAGGAAATTCTGTCTTTTTTAAAGACAAAAATTTTGGAGGCGAAATACCCAAAAAGAAGTTTGTAAAAAAATTAATCCGCCTCAATAATGTAGAACTTATCTACACAGTAGGCTTTGATTGACCGTGACAACAAGAATTGTTTAATGAAATAAGTCAACTTATTTTGACATTTATTCTTATTTGCTAAAATCCATAGGTTCAAAAGTCCAGATGCCTCCTGGTGGCTAAAATTATAACTACAAGCTAAGTAGTAATTTCCCACTTGTTTTTTTTGACACTGACATTAGTGTCACATTGGTATTTACATCTGCTTGTGATTTGTTTTGGCTTCTCTGTTATCTTTTAAACAAATAGAAACAGATCGAAAAGTGTGTAGGTATTGTTTGATGTCATAAATGTCATCAACTCCCATAAATAAACTAATCTGACAAGTCTCAACTGTCACTGGACAACTCGTATTTGACGAGCCATTCATCGCAGTATATCTTATTTTGTTCCGAGCTAACTCGCACGCGCTTTACCCCTAAAACTTTTTTAGATTAGGTGCATCTTTTGTTATTATATTCAACAAAGAATAAAAATTGCGTGTTCAGGCCAAAGTATTAGAATTGATTAAAAGTATAATTTTAAATTGAAGGTAACACCACGTAATTACCCATTTAATATGATTTTTATGTGATATTCTCTTCCAGCAATAATGTTTAAGTGCACAATCTGCGATAAAATGTACGATTCAAAACAACAATGGAACAGGCATAATAAACTCACTCATAAATTGTCAGTCAAGTTTTGTTATGACTCTAAGCAATGTGAGAATACATTTCAATCTAAAAGACCTCTTCAAAAACAAAAACACCTAATAACAAGTCACAGTGAAAAGAAACTGCAATGTAAGGAGTGCGGAAAACTTTACAAATCATTGAAGTGTTTGAGTTTTGGAGTGGCCTGCACAAACCCCCGACCTAAACCTCATTGAAACTCTTTGGGTTCAAGTCGAACCCCACATTCGAAGGGAAATGCTTCCAAAGAAACAAGCTGCGATAAATAAAATTTGCGAACTTTAAACTAACCACAGAATATCGTTTAAAAACCTGTCCGATAGTGTATTAAAACGTGTTATGTATTAAAATACTGTTCCTATTTTTTTATCAGTACGTATCACCTTTCAAATATGCCTCGCTTATGACGTAGCAACGCCGTATCTGCATCCACAGGTCAAGCCTACATATTTAGTGTCTTTGCCTACGCGTATGTCGATGGTCAGTTGTCGCTGCTTGTCCACGAAATGTTTAAAAGTTACGGAAAATCTTTACCGGAACCGGTGTAAATTATACATTTTTAAACAGCCGAAAGTGCACCCTACGTTTTGGAAACAAATGTAAGTAGTCTAGCATTCATTATAGATTAATCAGCTTGATTGAACTTGTACTAAATTGCGAAACGTCAAAACCAATCTTTTGCGTAATAACCGCGAAAACCAACAGTTCCTTAATTTCTTTCCCCCTAATACCTACCTTATCTTTGTAACGAGCCTTCATTGCTATGTGAAGATCACGAAAGCGACTGTATCTTCGCAAAACGCTCCATCGCTCATCGATTGTCAATATCCGAATCTCGTACTCATAATGCGTCTTCGACCCTGCCCCCCTTAGGCAGTAACTGGTTATACTGATTACCGAGTCGCAATCTGTATCTGAAAATACCATTTACTCGCCTGCTAGGGATTTTCCGGTTAAAACTTACCAGTTGATATTGAGGGCATTGATCGGTACATGAAGTGATTGTAGAACCTATTGTTCTGAGCCTAAAGGAAACATGAGCTCAATTAGATCGAAATTTTCGGTTTGAATACTTACGTGGATGGAAGATGTATATAAGGCACTGGTAGATCCGGTGTTCAGCGGTCTGATCGGACTGGGGCTATCCATGTCCTGCAATGGATGCTCCAAAGCCGGAGATAAATTCGAATAACAACCGTACTTCATTGCCATGTATTGCCGTTGAAGTTCTTGCAAATACTGAAAGTTTCCATAACCTAGTACCGTTAATCAGTGATTCACCAGATGGTACTCACAGCAATTTGTCTATCTAAATGCTCTTTTGGTATTTGGTTATCCAAATTCCTAAGTATCGAGTGCTTCTGTTGCGAGATTTTATGGGCCAACTTGCGCAACGTCTCCGCATCTTTGCGTCGGTTCTTCTTCGCCACTGGCGAGTGGTTTTCTATCGAACTGGTCGATTGAGAATCACTGATAACGCCCTAGAGAAAATCCCCATGTTTTTCAACAGCAATTTACTTAATCTTGCAAAACCTGCCTCATTGCTCGACAAGTCGTCGCAGCTTTCCTCGTGGCGGTTGCGGCCAGATGGGGGTCGAAGTTCTACGCCACTGTCGCTCATTAGGGGGTCAGCAGGTATGACCGACAGACCCTCTTCTGTAGGAAATTCACAGCTGTTGGGCGCAGTGTGATAAGTTGCGCTGCTGTTGGAATTGGCTGTATTAGGTTCGGTTGAGGAGGACGATGGGCTGACCTGTACTTCCACTGAGTTGATTCGCTTCAAATTCAGTGTCAAGCTGAAATACACATATGCCTAAATACAAATGATTTCGAACAATATCAATGCTTACCCCTGCTTTTTTTGTTCGATTTTGTCTAGCTCTTCCCCAGTTCTCTTGTTCAGATTGTCTTTTATCGCTTGCAATTCGGTAAGTCCCAGCTTAGCGCCGCCGAGATTTTGTTGGTCATCCACTAGGCTGATCAGCTTCTGATCGATTTGTTCCATGCTTCTTTGCTTATAACACAGAGCCTGCACCCGTCGCGTTATCTCCGCTTGCAATTCGGCCAGTTCCTGCCTCTACAAATGCCATCGTTTTACACTCAACATTTTAGAAGTTCAATGAAATGCCCGTACATGAACGTTGACGAGTCTCTGGATTACATCCGGTGCCCGAATAGTATTGAAAATATCAATCAAACGGTCCGCTTCACTGCTGGAAAGGGGTGTCTTTTGCGATTTAGCCGCTAGTTCCTATAAATCATTGTTTTCAAATGACCAAATACATGTTAAAATTACAAATTAAATAGCCTTATTGCACATCAAAAATACCGAAAGAAAAACTGAAAATCAGAAACTAAAATACCTGAAATAAAAGTTTGGATGCAGTATCCGAAAAACTAATGTCATTGGCGTGCATTAAAACCAAGTCGCTCATGTTTCGAAACTTGGACGAAAATGTACAGCGCTTTTGCTCCAACGCATCACATTCTCCATTAATCTACAGAAAACGAAAATAAACAGTAATAATAATAACTAAGCAAGCCGCAAAAAGACTATTTAAAAACCATCCGGGATTACCTCTCCCAGAACTCTCAGTCTGTCTTTCTCTAGCTCCTCCCTCTGCATAATCAAATCCTGCTCTTTCTTTTCTAGTTCCGATTCCCGGTCTTTTTGCTGGTCAGTCAGCACTTGCCAGTCATCGTGTAACTGTTTCGCCTGCAAAAGAACACTTTTGCCCAAAAATTCACAAATATTCAATTGCAAGTCACCTGTTCGGCATACTCTTGTTGTGCCATTCGTTTCTCGCTTTCTAGTTTGGCTTGTGCCTCTTCTAAGCTTTTCTTCCGCTTTTCAAACGCCTGCTTGCTCTTGGCAAACTGCTCCTGCTCCCTTTCAAATTGTTCTTTTGCCTTCTCCAGCGTCAAGCGTTGCATATCGATTTCCGACTTGTCTTCCTCGGCACTGAAAAATGAAATGAAAACTTGATTAATGGAAAATCTTCAAGCGAAAGAGACTACTGACGTTTGTAAGTTTTCTATCGATAGGGCCAGATCAGGGGTGGACCAGCTGAGCAGGCTCAGCCTGGATAAATTGTGAGCCTTTTCCCCTTTTCGCAGTTCTGCAGCTTCCGCAGGATCGTTAAACCTGAAAACATGGGCTTTGCCCAGAAATATGATGCAGCCTTGCGATAGCTTAGCGGGAGACTCCAATAATTGGCTGTTGAGCATCACGTAAGCGCCCGGCTTTGGTGAAAGAGTTGCTATCCCATTTTGGAAGATAATGCTGCAATGCTCTGATTCCATTCCGGAGCCTAGGTGGAGCAAAATCAGTTAACACCTCCTTTTGGGCTAGTTTTTACTAACCGCGTAATTCTATATCCTGTCTAACGTCAGCACTTCCTGAGCCGATACTGGTTATTCCTTCCTTTAAGTGATAAAGTGTCACACCAGTGCTCAGTGGATCATCATCGATGGCCACCAGATGGGGCCGATCCGAATCCAGAACCACCCCAGCCCCAGATTTACGCAGTCCCAGTGCCGTTTGTTCGCGCAAAATTGCTTGGGCTTCGCGCCATTTGCCCGTCCATTCTTCCGTCAGTTCCTTTTCTCTGGTCTCCTTTTCGTGTATCTGCTGGGCCAATGTATCGGACTTCTGTTCGCAAAACATCAGAGCCTTCAGTTTACTGATTTCGTTACGCAACTCTCTGATGAGCGTAACGTTCGGGTCTTCGTTCACTGTCGGTTTGTTAATGATGTTTTTGGCCCTGTTCGCGTAGCGAAGCGTGCTAAGTGTTTCGCCATAGTTGCAATCTAAAGAGGAAAATTCCGGCATATTAATATAATCAGTCAACGGATCAAGCCGACAAATTTAATTCGTTTTGGGTAGATAAATTACCTGCAGGGGAGATAGCAGCGATCATGATAGTCTTCGAATTGCCCCCTAAACTGTCCTTCAACAGCCAAGTGAGAACAGAGTCTCGATACGGGATGAAAAAGGACCGTTTTTGTCCTACCTGGTCCTTTGAGTCGATTGTCGATGACTCTGCTAGGGCTGATATAACAGACCCTTGAAACAAAGCACGGATTACTGTTAAGAAATCGGGATATGTGAATGCCGCCTACCCAGAGTGACTAAGGACTTATTGATATGAGCCCCTTCCTTTAGCCGTTGTCCAGTGGCTCCAGTTGAATCGGCCCGTTCGCTTCCTGCCAGATCCACCAGGTGAATCTAAAAGTGATTGATAGAAAGTGACTGGCTGGTGAGACAAAACACTTACCTTTGAGACGGTTTCGCTAGGCACCCCATCGCAGTAGCTGGCTTGAACAAACGTGATGGTGAAGATCGCATGACTGCGGCTGCTGACGTCGTTCATGTTAGTCGAAGCTGTAGTCCTGTGCGAGTTTCCCCTGAAAATACCCGCATTCTATCACGATTTCCCCAAAACCGCATTGTTTCCCCACCTGGTCATGCAATCCTGGATATGGCCGTAATTTGTCACCCAACAGGTGGTCAGCCCTTGTACGTACGGCCCTTTCTTCGGATGTTCCCTCACTTTCAAGTTGCTCGTGTCTTTGTCCCTCCGGTCAATCAGCAAATCGGCCACTCTTTCTTGGTAAATTTCCAGATAGCTAACTTGAACTCGATGTGTGGTGCCTCGTTTCGAATTTTCGCACATTCGGTCGAACAGCGCCTTGCAAATGCGAGGAATCAGTCCTTGGTTTTCCTAGAAAGACGGTCTGAGAACTGTGTTTGGGATTTAAGTGAGAACGTACTGGTGAGCCCATCATGGTAAAGGTTTTTCCACTGCCCGTTTGGCCATACGCGAAGACACAAGCGTTGTAGCCCTCAAAGGCACAGTCCACAACTTCAGTGCCCAAATCATTGTAAACCATCTCTTGTGAGGCATAGTTTAATGATTGGTGGTCGTGCGACCAGTACGAATGGTCAAAGGTGAATTCTTTGTACCTGATGTTTTCATCCCGAGTGTTCGCCTATAGAATTTAGACGATACATTTCGTGTGATAAGGTGATGAATTTGTCTATTCAATTTATAGTCAAATAGTCATGCTAATCTATTACACTCTTAGATGTGGGATCTTGATATGCGTTAAGTAACCACATAGCAGATAAGCCATAGACAATGTGTTTGAATACTGGCACTAGAATCCGCTAAGCAATCTGGCAATTGACAAAAACACAGCAGTGTGCCAATGCTGTGGCCTAGATTTAGGAATGTTAAGCACCGTTACCTTGCAATTTAAAATGCCCGTGGTCTTGCCCTTCATCTGAATAATCAACTGGGCATCCAAGTCCTTTTCCCTGCAATAAAAACAATGCTATTTGAACCAGAACAAGGGCAGTCAAGCATGCAACTAGTACCTTTGGTTGAAGGGCCTTACGCGAACAGCCACTTTAACCGATGCCATTTCGTGTATACTTTGCTACTTTCCTATTAACGGCACTTTTAGACCATTTTCTGCCGGTTAGTGAATAGTTTTTCCAGTTTGTTTGGGTTCTGGATGGTATCAGATGTGAATGTCATCGGAGTACAATAACAAATAAACGTCATGTGGACATCTATCTTCATCTCACTCGCCTGGCGATCCGCTTAAATTTTCGTAGCGAAAAACGAAAGCGCAAAAAAGTTCCTGTAAGGTCAAGCTAATTGTCAATCGTAATTAATAAAATTGTAAAATAGCGGCACAATATGCAGTGATAGTTTGCCAAAAGTTCGTAGCATTATGCAGAAATTAAGTGGAGAAAGAGTATCTGTTCGATTGGCCTCAGCCGCCATATTGGTTGAGGCTGAGACTCTTCTTTTCTAGGCTTGAAAGGCTTGAAAAAAAGTTAACCTAAATACAGCTCGTATCATAAGTGAAAGTCTTCATTTATCAACAAAATGTGTTTAAAAGAAAACTAACCATTTCGTATGGCTTTGACGGTGGAACAGTGCAATTTACTGCTTGAGTAAGTATCTGAAATTGTCCTTAAAGAGTCTCAGTTCTTTAGAGTTGCGTTTCAGTGTTCTAGAGCCAGGAAATATTAAGTCCCAAAGTCTGGAAGCCCTGACTAAAGATGTGATTAGGAAGTTTGATAAATCTGACCACTTTCGGGGTAAGAAGCTGATGACACACTGTTTGTTTATTAACTTGGCTGTTTCCAGTCGGAAGTTGCCTTGTAATGCTCCTTCAAGCCGATCTCTTACCCGATAGGGATCAGCGAGTCGCTGCCCTCACTATTCTTCAGCAGCTTTACAGAGGAGAGACTCTAATAAACAACCCTTTTGCGAGTATTTTCTTACACGTGTTGGTTAGTGGTTGAAAAAAGTGGTTTCATTGGTGGCTTTGCTATAAAGACAGCGGTTTCAGTACTCTCCAGAGCAGCACAACACTATCGGTGTACCCAAGCTGGAATATCCAGGCCAGTTGCCTAAACTCAGCGACGCAGAGAAGCATTTCGTTACTCTATTGGTATCAGATACACCTAAAGATGCGGTGAGTCAAAAATGGGCTCCAGAGGGACAAAACTAGGCGAGTGTGACATGTTTTAGCAATTCCTGAGGAAAACTGCCTTACAAGTGATTAGCCAGGAGGTGCCGACGGCTAGTACTGTAGATCTAAGTGCTATTCGGGCGGCCTTCACTGAGAAACAATCTGAACTGCCTCAAACCAGCAAGTCTGGAATTCCAGTCATTTTGTCTTTGCCGGATAAAGCCTCCGATAGAGAGTAAGTGTGGCAGATTCCATTAAACTGACGGAGAATTTTAGAGTCAATATTAAGTAGATTGTGCTTTATGAATTTAGTCAGCCAGTGACCTCTTTAAGAGAGATAATCCAGAAACTCGCCACGGGAGAAAATGCGCCAATTAACCGAGTGTACAAGCCGGAATTCGTAACTCTTGCGCCCCCTCTATTGAACTGCCAAGATGAGGTTGGTGGTTTTACAAGCCTCCCATCCTTCTTGGTGCAGGAAATTTGTTTTTCAGCCAGTGTGGCTGAATCCGACTAATCCTAAAGAACATTTAGTATGTTACGATGCAACGATGTGCATTCCGGACGTCGCTGGGTATGAGGCGCGGCAGCTAATGAATAAGGCCTACAAGTCGGCTCTGTCGATCCCCCAGCAGCAACAGCTACTTGGGGAACTGGAAAAGGACCCCAAGTTGGTTTATCATGTGGGATTGACACCATCCAAGGTACACGATGGACCTAACAATAGCAATTTCCTGGGTTGACTGTGGTTAAATTCCAGCTCCCCGAGTTAGTTGAGAACAATCCTCTCATCGCTATAGAGGTGCTTTTAAAGCTGATGCAGTCCAAGCAGATAACCGAATATTTTAGCGTGCTGGTCAACATGGAAATGTCGTTGCATTCCATGGAAGTGGTCAACAGGTCAGATTCTAAGAGAAAACTGAATCGGGTTTCAACTGATGTGTTGTAGGTTGACCACCACTGTGGACCTACCCACTGAATTTGTGCACCTCTATATATCCAACTGCATTTCCACGTGTGAAACAATCAAGGATAGGTACATGCAAAACCGTCTAGTGCGGCTGGTGTGCGTATTCCTGCAATCTTTGATCCGGAATAAAATCATCAATGTGCAAGTGGGTATTTGCCCGGAGTGGTTTCGGCCAAGGTTGATTTACTTGAATGTTGTGGCTTTAGGAGCTGTTTATTGAAGTCCAAGCATTTTGCATCGAATTTAGTCGGATTAGAGAAGCTGCCGCCTTATTTCGCTTGCTGAAACAGTTGGAATCGGGCGAGCTGGGATTGGTGTCGTCTCCTACTTTAGGCAGTAAAACTAAATTGGATGCCTAATGTCCGATTGTACTATTGAATAGTTATTTTATAGTGAAGTTTTCTTAATCATTGTACGTAGCTAAATCAAATTGTGACACTTATTAATTTGAAAATTTTATTGGCTAATATATTTTCTTATGATAAATAGGGTTTTTTGGTGGATAATTTAGGGCATAAATGAAACCAGTTTTTCTGGAATATCATGTTTAAAATTCAGTGCGAGTTTAGGTAAAGTATTCCCTTTGGGGCATAGAACGGGTGTAACAATAATGGCAAGTAACGTTTTAATTAATCACAAAAAGCGCCCGAACTGCTTTTGTACACCAATCATATAACTGAGAACAGACTAGTTTCTCTTACACAGACATTTACCACAGTATAGTGCCTTGTTCAACTACGGTATAATTGTAAGCTCATACATAACCGGTTTGCCTCACTCACAAGTGTTTTTGGAAATACTAAGTACAGTTTAAAACCTAACAGTCAAGATCAGTATATGTACAATATTGAGTTTGTTTGAAGGCAGCTTGTTTGTACATAAATACGAAAACGTGCTTCGTCATGTGGACGATATGCTTCCAGGCCATGGAAGCAAGCAGATTGGTTGGTAATATACCATAGGATTTTCTATTGGTAAAGTTGTACTTGACGCGAAAAGCCCTCTTCCGACTTTCCTCCTAATGCGATTAACCAACGCCTTTTATTTACAAATATTCAATAATAATTAGTTGCTAAATTGACATCCAATGAAAGCACTTGGAACGGCATTTGTATATCCAGCAAGCCTCGCAGAATTGTCTTAAATCAATAAAGTAACTATTTTTTAAGTCTAGTTTTGAGGCGAGCACTCGTCAACTTCTTCGATAATCGAGTCCTGCTCGACTCGTTGTCGTCGCAGCACCAGTTCGTGGTACTTCTGTAATAAAACACCCCCATGAAACACAGCAGCAAAAGAAGGAAAAACACACAAAAACAACAAATAAAGCGGTTTATTTTTGCATCACGAGGCAGTTACCTCTTCGCTGGTTATCACAATGATTCTTTGGTCTATCTTCGGGATTAATTGACAAGTTTCCTGCTCCAGATCGTCCAGAGAAGCTCTGCGCGTTAGTTTGGCTGTGTGGTGCGTGTTGTGCGAAGTTGTGTCGATGGTGCTGGCGCGCCGAAGAATTGGCGGGCCTTCCAGTTCGCTGCCATCCAGCATCTTCACTAAACTGTGCCTGGAAAGGATTTATCCCTAGGAAGTTAATGGCTTAAGGCTGAAAGCCCTCCTGACCTTCGAGACAACGTGACCAGCGATTGCCGATGTTTGGACTGACGCCTTGTTTTGCCCAGCCGCATGTTGATGGCTTGGAAGTGGTTTTGAACCGCCAACCCCAACTCTGGACACTCCCCTTCATTGACCTGAGAAAAACCGGTTGAACAGGTGAAAGTGGGAAGTTGCACCTTCTTACTAGCACTTCGGTGTTTCGCAGCATCACATAGCCGTCACATCCGTTGTGCATGTAGCTTTTGGTGGCCAAGCAGTAGTTTTGCTCCACGTTCAAATATTCGTCCCCGATTCGCACGAATTGGGGCTCCACCCTGGTACCAGGGGGTTTATTGGGGTTGAAGGCGAAACTGAGCCCTGCCACTTGCGGAAATCGCCCCTCCAGCTTCGGGTACATGCAGACAGCGTTCTCAAGGGCTTCCAGAATTTGCTGTCCTAAACCACCAGGGAAAAGTTGAGGGTACCCAGATAGCAATTGATATTC